GAGTGAGGCAAACCAAGGGGAGGGAGAAAGAGGCTCAAAGCCGCCCTGTGAGGAGGGCAGACCTTAGTACAGTGGTGCCCTGTTGCAAAGGAGGAGGCAGCTACCAGACCCTCTGCTTGGTGGGCAACGGCTGCAGCATCCTCCTCTCCCCTTCCCTCCCTTCCAGCCAGCCCAGGGGCAGGGAACATGTGGATGTTCCTTCGCAGGCTATGAGGAGGAGGTGCCAGTGCCGCCCTAGCCCTGAAGGCGTGGCTGAGGTGTGGCTTGGCTCCTCATGGCTCCAGCCATGATAAGGGAGCTTGTTGTGGGGGCACCTGGTTGCACACCCTTGCACCCCTTCAAAAATCTGCACCGAGGGCCAAGGCCCCCCTGGCTCTCCCCAAGCTACACTCCTGCTCTCATCTAAACCTGGTGTAATCTAGGTTTGTGTGCATGTGAAAGAGAACAAAGGGGAAGCTACAACTGCCACCATCCCTGACTATAGGCTACACTTCTTGGTCTGATGGGAGCTGGGAGTGCAATAATATCTAGAAGGTCACAAGCTAGCCACCCCTGGTTTAAGATGTACCGTAGATCTGCCTCAATCTATGTTCTATTTACATATATGAAAATGGACTAAAATATTATAAACACTCTGAACTCCTTCCAATCCAAACCTAGGTAAGCGCTACACCCCTGCAATGTTTCAGCACTTCAAGCTCATATAGGCCCTTTTCATCTAGGAAATATGCATATGTAAACCCTTAGGTGGCAGGTAAATTGGCATGCACTCTGCAAATATCTAGAGCAAATTATCAATCCTGCCTTCCTCCAACCAGTTCGTTAATTAAACAACAACAATCTGCTGCATCCCCCAGCTTGCTACTGCTGTCAGGCCGGAATGTCCTGCTCTGGCTGAAGGAAAGCCAGAAAGTAAAGACAGAGAGAAGCAGCCTGAATTTCTGAGCAACAGACAATCAAGGAAGCAGGGTGTAGGGAGATGGAAACAAGGGCAGCACCTTGGTATCATAAGAAAAGGTAGAAGTGAGACCTTTTGATCAGGTGGTGTTCAATCAGAACTGGGTTAATTTCTACCACCTGGTCTGTCTGCTCTAAAAAGACAACTACCCAACACACACACAGATTTGCTTTGCAGGTCTTATCCAGATGCACACACCTTTCAGCCATTAGTAATAAAAAGCACCCTTTCCTTCCCAGCCTAGTTAACTACTGTTAGTACTGAAGGACAAACTGCATCCTGCCACGTCCGAAACAGAATGAAGCCCCGCCCCCCTAGTTTTTAAAACCACCCCATGGGTGGTACTGAAGCAATTAACCCAATGTGTGTGGGGGGAGGTGCGAGATTTGGGAAGCTTGCAGAGATAAAGTGGCAGTTTTGCATTTAACACCAGCATTTAGCACTAGCTCAAGGTATAGAGAGCTGCTTGATTAGAGGGGGGAGGATGGGGTGGGGGGAATTGAAAGTGCCTCCTTCAGCTTCCCCCCTATCTAGTTGGTATGATCCTTTACCTCCAAAAGAGAACTTCGGGACCACTTTCTGCAGTTCAAGCGAAGCAAGAAAAGTGGCGTCGTGCTTCTTTTCCTTGAGGTAATAGCGTGGTTGTTTTTCTTCTGTGCGTAAGAATGAGGTGGGCACTTAGGAAGAAAGCCCAGTCTTTGGAGTGGCTCAGAATACGAGTTGTGGGATAGGAAGCTTCCTGTTCAAACCTAAAATCTGGGAGGAACTCATACAACGGCCTTAGCCTAGCTGCTTGCCTCCCTCTTTCCGTTTCCCCTGTGGAAAATGAGGACAGTTACTCAGTCGTGTCTTAATAGGATTCCTGTAGAGTTGACAGGACCCAGGAGTGGGTCACAGCAGGAACACTGCCATACAAATATATGGTAAATGGTTAAGAAATGGGTCCCCAAATGCATGTTTGGGTTAAAAGTGGGTCCTGGGGTCTGAAACTACATACTTACTACTACCTGACATAGTTACTACAAAGCCAGTATTAAGTATTCTGAGTTGCTCAGGTCTTAACACGCCTTCAGGTGGAGCCACACCCATGTCCTGGTATTGCCTTTATGGTGGTGCTTTGAATACAGTATCTGATTGATAATGGGATCCTCCTATCCCTCTTTGTTCTCCACATGGTGCTAGTGCCTTTTAAGTGCAGTTTACTGTATGTTCCTGTTATAAGAATTTAAAGTCTCAAATATATAAATTAAATGTTAATCAATGTACAAGGCAAAGGCATACATAAGTATCTTCTTCTTTGGCGATCGCTCGTAGCCGAGTAAGATTGTCTTCTATAAACACGGTTTTAACAATGAGTCCGAAAGTGACTGTGGAGGCCAGTTCTGGATCCACATGTCCTTCCACAGTGGGGACATTGGTTTCCGGGCGGGAATTGATCATGGTGTGGATTTGCCAAGCGTGCCTTCCTCTTAACACGTTTCTCCCTTGCATCCTGAGTTCGAGTGTCTTCAAAGCCCATGACACCTTTGGTAAAGGCTGTTCTCCAACTGGAGCGCTCGCAGGCCAGTGTTTCCCAGTTGTCAGTGTTTATACTACATTTTTAAAGATTTGCCTTGAAACAGTCTTTAAACCTCTTTTGTTAACCACCAGCATTACGCTTTCCATTTTTAAGTTCGGAATAGAGTAGTTGTCTTGGAAGACAATCATCAAGCATCCAAACAACATGACCAGTCCAACAAAGTTGATGTTGAAGAATCATTGCTTCAACACTGGTGATTTTTACTTCTTTCCAGTACACTGATATTAGTTCACCTGTCTTCCTAAGTGATGTGTAAAATTTTCGGAGACACTGTTAATGGAATCTTTCGAGGAGTTGGAGATGGTGTTTATAAGTGGTTCATGTTTCACAAGCATATAGTAAGGCTGGTATTACATTAGCTTTGTAAACAAGCATTTTGGTTTCCCTGCGAATGTCCTGGTCCTCAAACACTCTGCACTTCAATTGGGAGAAAGCCACACTCGTAGAGCTCAGGCGATGCTGGATTTCGGCATCAATGTTGGCCCTTGTGGAAAGAAAACTGCCTAGGTAGAAGTGATCAACATTTTCCAAAGTTACATCATTGAGTTGGATTTGTGGCGCTGCAGAGGGGTTATTTTGTACTTGTTGGTGCAGCACTTTGGTTTTTTGGATGTTGAGTGATAGGCAAAGCTTTTCGTAAGCTTCGGCAAAGATATTTAGGATGGTTTGGAGGTCATCCTCTGAGCATGCACACACTATGTTGTCATCAGGATACTGAAGCTCTATGACGGAAGTTACGGTAACCTTACTCTTTGCTTTCAGCCTGCTCAGATTGAAGAGCTTTCCATCTGTTTAATATATGATTTCTCCTTCGGTGGAGAGTTTCCCTTCGACAAAGTGTAGGATCATGGTAATGAAAATAATGAATAGAGTTGGGTCTGAAACAGTGCAGGAAAGCAGTCCTGAAGCCATTTTGACTTTCCCAGTGACTTCAAGTGTTCCTCTGCAGTAAGGGAGGCAAATGGGGAAAGCCTCCCCATGGTCTCTTTGCTCACACATCCTGTCTTAAGGGTGTATCTGCGTATGAATAGAGTGAGCCTGTGACCTGGATTCAGGAACTAAAGTATTCACCATCACAAAAGAGTAGCCAGACTGCCCAGGTAATGCAATCAGAGACCATTATCAAGCAACCATTGACCATTATGAGGTATCCTGGCCTTAGGATTCTGCTGTAGATCGCCCCTTCTGTTAAGTTGTGGGCGAACATATCAGACGACACAGTGATTCTTCAAACAGCTCTTCTTTATTCAGATGCCAGAACTGAACTGAGCTGAAGGGCTCAGTCAGCCTGCTTATATAGAGCTCCAGTACCTTGTTACTGTAACAACATTCTAAAACTATCCAATCACTGAACGTCACTTTCGACCATTCATTTGCAAAACTATCTACAGTATCCCCCTGCTGGCCCAGGGTGAGAACTTCAGTACATAACACCCCTCCCCACCAAGATAAGGCATTAGTTACAATCGTAATGGTTTCCTTATATACAGCACTACATGTAATGGGTCAGTTAGGCACAAAAGCATATCGGTTACATTACACATACTTAAACCAACAGTGATACATAGCCAACAACATAGTCCTTTAAATAAGTTGGGCGCTTGGAAACTCTGCCAGACCGCCGGGGATTGGTAGCCAAGTCCGGGGGGCCACCCAATTCTTGCTGAGGCTGTGGTGCGACCCTAGGTGGCGTTGAAACCAAGTCCCCTGGATCCGCTGCTGTGGGTGGAACCTCCACAAGTGGAGTGGGCAGAATGTCAGGCACAGCAGTGGTCTGAGTCTGTGGTAAGTCTGGCAGACCCTCTGAAGTGGCTTGGTTCGGCTCCACGCCGGCAGTTTGCGAGAGAGGTGTAGGTGCAGTAAGTGTCTGTTCCGGAGCCACAAGCGCAGTTGGGGGCACCACGGTAGTGTCCAAGTCCCCAACCCTGCGCCTAAGGGTGGTCTATGTGCCGGCGCCACAAGCATCCGTCTTCGAGCGCCACCTGGTACGAGAGAGGTCCAGTGACTCCCACTACTGTGGCTGGCACCCAAGGAATGTCCCCCACAAAGTTCCGGGCAAAGACTTGGTTCCCTGGAACAAATGACCGTGGCGCGTTGGCACAACCTGGGGGTTCAGCCACGGCAAAGTCCGGGTGCAGCCGGTCGAGTGGGGACCTGAGGCGGCGGCCCATAAGCAGTTCGGCAGGACTCCGCCCTCTGGCCACATAAGTGGTGATGTGTTACACGAACAAGTATTCAGCGACCCGCTCGTGCCAGTCTCCCCGGTCCAGGCGCCCCAGTGCCTCTTTTGCCGAGCGCACCATTCTCTCCGCTTGCCCGTTGCTGGATGGATGAAATGGTGCCATTAGGGCATGACGGATGCCCAGTCCCAAAAGGTACCGCTCAAAAGCGCCTGACGTGAACTGCGGTCCGTTGTCAGAAACAAGGACATCAGGATACCCATGCGTCGCAAAGAGGCCTCACAGCACCCGGATGACGGCCTCGGTAGTGGTGGAGGGCATCAGGGCCACCTCCAGCCATTTGGAATAGGCGTCCACCACTACCATAAAGGTCCGGCCACGAAAGGGGCCGGCCAGATCGATGTGCACTCTCGACCAGGGTGTCTTGGGCGTCTCCCAGGTGTTTCCCTTAGCTGCCGGTGGCGCAGGCCTTGATTCTTGGCACGCTTGACAGGCGGAAACCCAGGCAGTGATGGCATCGTCCATGTTAGGCCACCAGACGTAACACCGAGCCAACGCCTTTATTTTGACGATTCCCGAGTGCCCAACATGCAGAGCCTCAAGGACGCGTTGACGGAGTCTTTGGTGAATCACAACACGGTCTCCCCACAGCAGACAGCCGTGATGAGCCGAGAGTTCGTGTTGTCTGGTTGCAAAGGGCTGGAACTCCAATGCAAAAGGCCCTTGTGGCCACCCCCTCCACACCCAGTTGAGCACACGGCTGATGGTGCGATCCTGGGCAGATGCGGAGGCCACAGTGGCAGCCGATACAGGCGCTGCCGGAAGATCTTCAATCAGGAGGAGCGATGAAGCAGGAGCTGTGTCTTCCGCAAATGCTGGAAGAGGGCAACGGCTGAGGGCGTCGGCATGGCCCATCGATTTCCCTGGGCAATGCACGAGCCGGTAGTGGTAGGCAGCCAGGAAAACAGTCCATCGCAGCATGCGTGGCGAGAGGACCGGTGGAGTTGGTCGATCACCAGCGAGGAGGCCCAGGAGCGGCTTGTGGTCAGTGATGGGGTCGAAAGTCCTGCCATAGAGGTATTCATGGAACCTCTTCACTCCAGCCACAAGTGCCAGTGCCTCCTTGAGCTGACTGTAATTCCGTTCCGTTGGAGATAGCGTCCTGGAAAAGTAGGTGAGCGGTGCTTCTCTTCCATCTGGAAAATGGTGACTAAGGACAGCGCCAATGCCAAAAGGTGAGGCATCGCAGGCGAGGACCAGCGGCCTGGCTTCACTGTACTGTACCAGCACACTGTCCGATGAAAGGAGAGCCTTGACCGCGTTGAAGGCGGCCGTCTCTCGATGACCCCAGGACCAAGATGTCTTTGTGCTGAGGAGTCGGTGAAGAGGCTCAGCCACTGTGGCTTTGTGGGGCAGGAACATGTTATAAAAGTTCAGCAGTCCCAGGAGCGCCTGGAACTCCGTCTTGTTCTTTGGGATGGGGGCCTGCTGGATAGCGCGGATCTTGGATGTGGTCAGGTGAAGGCCAGAGGCGTCGATAAGATAGCCCAGGAACTCCACCTGTGGAACGGCGATCTGGCACTTCTCCCTCTTTACCTTGAGTCCGGCCTCCTGGAACCTGGTCAGCACGGCGCGGAGGCGCTCAAACAGCTGCTGGTGTGTCTGCGGACACCAAGACGTCATCAAAATACGGTACCACGGCCGGAAGCCCTTGCAGGAGACGCTCCATAAGGCTTTGGAAATGCCAGGAGCCACACTAACCCCAAACTGCAAATGGCGGCAACGGAATGCACCTCGGTATGTGACGATCGTCTGGGCTTCAGCAGTGGCATCATCGACGGGCAGTTGTTGATAGGCTTGGGCAAGGTCTAGCTTAGCAAAGACCTTACCCTCACCCAAGGAATGCAGCAGGTGTTGAACAACAGGAACCGGGTAAGCGTGCTGCTGAAGTGCCTTGTTGATCGTGCACTTGTAGTCAATGCAGATTCTCACCGACCCGTCTGGCTTGACAGGCGTGACGATGGGGGTTTCCCACCTGGCATGGTCAACCGGCTCCAAAACTCCTTGGGTGATCAGCTTGTCCAGTTGTTTGTCCACCTTAGCCTTGAGAGCAAAGGGAACCCGGCGTGGCTTTAGCTTGATGGGGGCGACTTGTGGATCAAGACTAAAGGAGATGGGCGTACCTGTATATTGCCCCAAAGTGCCGTCAAAAACCTCGGCAAAGTCTTTGACCAGACCCTCAGTCTCTGCGTTAGAGATGCAGTTGATGCCGGTGACTTCCAGGCCGAGGGCATCAAACCAGTCTAGCCCTAGGAGGCTTGGCCGCTGACCTTCAACCACCACTACCAGTCAGAGCAGGCCCGAAAAATCCTTGAAAGCGATCCGGAACCGGCCAACGCCTACCACGGGAATGTCGTTTCCCTGGTAGTCTCTCAGGTGTACACGGTGAGAGTCGAGTTGCCTTTTGGACACTCTGGGTACCAGTCTTTTGATGGTGCTCCAAGACACGATGGACAGGGCAGACCCGGTGTCGATCTCCATGTCACATGGAGCTCCTTCAATGAGCACCGTGACGTTCAGCTTGCGTCGCGTAGGCGAGTCAGTTTGGCCAATCGTGGTTCCAGACGGGCAGCGGCAGTTGGTGAGAGCAAAACAGCTTTCCTTGGCAGACTGGAGTGAAGACTTGGACTTGCGAGTCGGTGAAGGGGGGGTGTCAGACGGAGCCGATCGGCAGACCTTAGCGATGTGGCCCCTTCTCCCGCTTTGTCTGGTGCACGTCATCGTCTTCACTGGAGGATGCCTCATCACTGCTGGCCTCTTCGTGATGCACTGGAACTGGCTTCCTAGCAAGACGCAGGCTGCTGGCCTTGCGGATCTCCTAGTTCAGCAGCTTCCGAGGCCACAGCCTCCTCAATGGCTTTCTGCAGCGTGAGGTCTGGCTTGGCGAGGAGACGCCGTTGCAGATGGATGTCCCGGACCCCGCAGACGATTCGATCCATCAGGGCATCGTCTAAGTCTCGGAACTTGCAGTGCATCCCACCTTCGTCGCCAGTGTTAAGTTGTGGGCGAACATATCAGACGACACAGTGATTCTTCAAACAGCTCTTCTTTATTCAGATGCCGGAACTGAACTGAGCTGAAGGGCTCAGTCAGCCTGCTCATATAGAGCTCCAGTACCTTGTTACTGTAACAACATTCTAAAACTATCCAATCACTGAACGTCACTTTTGATCCTTCATTTGCATACAAACTATCCAATCACTGAACATCACCCTCGATCCTTCATTTGCATAACTATCTACAGTATCCCCCTGCTGGCCCAGGGTGAGAACTTCAGTACATACAACTTCTGTGATGTATGTATGATGTATTGGGGGGTGGCCTTAAGCTTGCAGGGTGGCAATTTCAAAAAGTCTATAAAAGGGCTTGCACACCATTGTTCGGGGTTCCTCCTCCCTCCTGCATGTGGTGAGTGAGGACCCTGTTGCAACAGTTTAATAAAGATCAGGCTTACTAGCTGCTTTGCTTCTCAATATTCTCTGGTTGGCCTCTGTTATTTTCTCCTACCGATAGGGAACCCACTTTAGGACTCTATACAGGCTCTTTGATACCCTATAAGGGGAAAAAAGAGCAGATTTTGTTTACAACAGTGCTGATCGGCTCGCGTGTGGTGTTAGCTTGCTAGTTGTGCACCTGTCCAACCTATCTATCGCTGATGCTGTGGAGCACTGTATCTTGTGGGAATGTGCCGTATTAAATTATAAAACCAGCACGAAAAGCTTAATCCAGTAAAATAGGTTGTCAGGTTTTTATAGGACTTCCCTTCCTTCGTTTTGTTGTTATGACTGGGATCCAAAATGATTAATAAATAGGAGTTTTGCCATTTTATTTCAATGGCATGATTGCACCTTTAAGCATTTTCTGTTAAGCAAACTGATATTTTTTTTAAAAATTGATATTTTCCCACCAACCATCCTCTATTGAGTATTAGTAATGGTTTATTCTTTATTTAATAATACACAATTTACAGCTGTTTGCTTTCATTTATTAATAGCCCTTTCCACTGAACAGGATTAAGAGAAATAATTATTTTTACACACCATAGGGTCCCTGTCAAGTATTAGGTGGATGTCATTAACGTCTCGACAATTGGGAGTCAGAACTGCAAGCATCCAAGTAGGTATATAAAGCTAACAGCGTTCAAAGTTTTCTTCATCTTTCAAAAACAGTTTTGCTAGCCCACAAACTTTTGTCCATATAAAGCTGGGATTAAAAGATAAAGAGTCAGTGGAATATCTAATGCAAGACCTACGCTAATATGTGTTAGCTCAATATGAGTTAGCAGTACAAAGGAGAAATACAGAGAAAAGTAGCATGTACAGAAGACGCAGGCTTTAGTGATTCAGCATTGCTTGGAAGATTCTGTATGCCATGAATATATGCAATTTTCTATTACCAATTAAAAATACTCTCATTGAGTTTTTGCAGATAATTATTGTAGGAATATAATAGGCTGAGGGGTAGGGGATAAAGAACTGATCCAACGTTTCAGCTAAAATTTGGAACATTTCAAGTTCTTCTTGAATAGTTGAGAAATTTCCCTCTTCTGCTGAAGAACCTTCTGCAAACAGGTCAAGTAACTGATTGGGGTAGAGAATTTCAGCCACAACTGTAGATCTGGTTTTAATATTATTGGGTTTTGTTTGACTGTTTTTGAAGAAGGCAATTGGCCTGGGCCCTAATTTTTTCAGTCCTCCTTTTCATAGCTCATCATCCATCAGCATGTATTAACAATAGAGCTTAATTCAACAGTAAGTGACTGGAAATGTCTCATCCAGATTTAACCTTAAGAAATATTCAGTGAAATGCCCCCCTGTGTTTTTCTGCCTATGATAGCAGGGAAAATTTGGGGAGGTAATTTTCATTTGGGAAAGAACAAGTAACTGAAGTCCAAAATAATACACGTTAAAACTAATTGCCTATGATGTATAAGAAGGACTGCACTCTGCATTCTGTTGCTTACGGCAAAACAGTACATCAATCTGGATTCGGGCATTGCGCCACTTTCCTGCTGCCATTTGCCCCCAAGGGTACAGTTTGTAGTAAACATAGCCTTCAGAGGAAAATACTGGTGGTGGGATCTTTGGTATGGAGCCTCAGTGCAGATTGGGACCACATTCCAGTTTGTAGTAAACATAGCCTTCAGAGGAAAATACTGGTGGTGGGATCTTTGGTATGGAGCCTCAGTGCAGATTGGGACCACATTCCAGAATAGGGTCTCTATGGCTGCTTTTCCTAAAAATTGTTATTTATTAAATTTCTGTTTATTAGACTTCCGGGGTGGCGCCATCGGCAATGGCGGATTCCCTCTGAACTGGAGGGACCAGCTCCACGGGAATCGGGTCTTTTCCGCTACGGCGAAGCGGGGACCCATTCAAAAATCACAGGCGGATGAAGCCTGTGACCATGGGACTTGGCGGGCACCTTTAGCGCCCCCCTCAACCTGCAAAGGAACCCACTAACCGGCTCCGGAGTGAAGAGGGGGAAGTGGCGCGGTGCTGAGAGTCAACTGCTTCTTCCGTGGAGCGAAGCCGCACAGCCGTTGCCGGAGAGCGCTGCCTTTTTCCTGGGACAATTTGGCTTTTAGAACAACCACCCGTGAGTACTTAAGCTTCGGACAATTGGACTCTAAACAAGGATTTGCGAGCAGAAAGGAAAACTGGACTTAAAAGTTTAATTTAATTTGGCACTGAAACGGGAAGGTCTAAACAGGA